TGACGTGTTCAATACTTATTTTTACCCGCTGTATATAGAAATACCCATTTGTTAACTCTTTCGCAGAAACTTGTAATTTAGTAGTAGAAATGGTCTCCATACAGGTGGCAGCATCAGAACCTGTTTTTGTTATATTGTGTCGTACATTAACTTGCTTTGGTAGGTTGATGCTGTAGTATCATAGATATATAAAAAATAAAATTGTTGTTTTTATGACTATGTATAGTACACACATCCACTAGTTTGATCATATTCAAAATATTTCAGTTCGGTACGCTACAAGCTCATTTCAAATCAAATTTCTGAAGGATTTTTACTAACAAATTCATCCACACATTCACTGAAGTTAAGATGTTCCTAAAAACAACTGGGATATTATTTGATCTCTTATCTATCACAATTGGTAATTTGATGGTAACTGATCGATTTGCAATGCCTAAATTTAGTTAGGACCCGGGATATCATCGTCTCTGCAAGCCAGCAGCAGCATCAACTAAACAGACCATTTCTTGTTAGAAATTGATCACAGATAGGCACACACATAGCAAAGCCTAGCTSTTCTAGGCCACAGGTCAACTGGGTAAATGCCATGAAAACGCCACTGCAATCGTGCAAATTCAATGAGTTCAAAAAGCACATACTGTATAAAGCTTTTATATTTATAAAAATTCTCATCCCTGATCCTAAAGGAAAGTTGAACACAAATCAGTTTAGAGCAATACATCAGGGATGAATAACGGCACAAATTTACCTGATGAATTTGTGCAGTTATAATGGCATTTCCAAAGGAACATCAGCTTTTTCCCAATAAACGCGAGGTCGGCTCGCTTTGTGCATTTGTGATCATTCCTAATTACAAAATGGTCCATTATAAAACTTTTATCACTATGTTACAAAAATGATTTTCAGTAGTTATTTAGCTTTAAAATGATACAAAGTTTCTCTAAGTTATTTAAGAAACAATGAAGATATGGCATTTTGAGTCTAGACTGTTGTTCTGCCTGTTTTTACATCACACTGGACAAGCCCTAAGAGGCTAACTTTGGTATCATTTAGAAAGGTTTTTTCAAGCCCTTCCTGGATATTTACTAGGGCTGCAACGATACAGAAAATTCACGATTCAGTTCGATACTTTAGTCTCACAGTT